CTAATTATATTTTAGATTTTTTATATTTAAAATAAGATGTTTATCCTGTATTTGATTGTGTTTATCTGCAGTTACTTACACGAATTCAGATATGGGATGAACGGATTTAAGAGTTTTTAAGAGTTTAAGAGTTTTAAGAGTTTAAGAGTTTTTAAGAGTTTAAGAGTTTTTAAGAGTTTTAAGAGTTTAAGAGTTTTTAAGAGTTTTAGCCAAATGCTTTATAATATAGTATAGATATTTACGTAATAATAACTTGTAACTTTAAATTTTCAAATAAGTATAATTTTAAATGATGGATATCTTATGTTTATAATATATTTTTTAAAAGGTTTTTGTTAAATACTTTATAATATAGTATAAATAAACCAGTTGAGAAACTCTAATACAAAATTATAACTTAAACATTCATTCCTTTTTATGAACTTCTTTCTGTGTGAGTTTGGGCACATATTGGTAAGAAAAAAAAATTATGAATTTGTCAAATGAACTAAAATAGTAATTAGAATGTATTGTTATCAGATTTGAGCAAATGTTTGATTAATAGGATACGGAATGTGCTCTATCAAATGGATGTCAGATTTGGGCAAATGTAATCTATCAAACGTTAGGTCAATCGAGATTCTGAGCACAATTTTTCAAATGGTTGTAGAAGCCACGAAGCTTTTTTTCAGGACTTTTAGGGGGCGTTTGGTTCGTAGAATGGAATTCGATGGAATTGAAATTCATCAAATGAATTTGACTTTGAGGGAATATAATGGAATTTGATGGAATTTGACCATGTCTTTTGATTGCGTTTGGTTGGATGGAATTGGAATGAAATTCTTAACGGAATTGGAATTTTTTTTGTTTCGTTCACGGAATTCAATGAGAAAATTACATAGATGGCATTTCGAGAAAATCCTTTTTAGGATGGAAAGAACGAGAGAGAGAGAGAGAGAGAGAGAGAGAGAGAGAGAGAGAAAGAGAGAGAGAGAGAGGTCGAGCATACCAGATAGGGAAAAATAGAACTTTTACCTTAACGGGTTCCCCAACCGGGATCGGGGAAACCGCAGGGACCCGATGGGGATCCCCAATAAGATCCCCAACGGGGATCGGGACGGTCACGGGGACGGTTTTAGTTATTGGTTTCGGGAACGGGGATACTAATAACCGGCCCGAACCTCGCCCGTTGCCATTATTAGTTTTAAACGAGATCGAGCATAGCAGAACAGAGCAAATCGAGATATAGCCTCGATGAATGGATGAGGGCTAAGGAATTTGTCGGATTGGGATTTCAAATCTGTGGTATATGTGGTGGAATTGTGAAATCAGTAACTTAAGGAATTTGTTGGAATTGGAAGGATTCCTTCACACCAATTATGTGAACCAAACATTCTATTTGGAATTTAGTCAAAAGATTGGACATTCCAATTCCTTTTAATTCCATCAAATTCCAATGATCCAAACAGCCTCTTACAGTATGTATGGCAAACTAGTTAATAAACTAGCTAATAGTTAATATATTATATAGTTTGGGTTCCGGTTCAGATGAAAATAAGAATTATGATGAGAATGTGAGAACAAAACCTTTATATGTTTAACTACTTTCATTTATCTATTTTTATCATCATGATTTTTACTTTAATAAATTCTTTCATATAAAAATGATCAAATGTATGCAAAAAAAACTCGTGAAAATTAAATTGAAGACAATTAAAAGGGAAATTGACTCAAATAACCATTTCTCACACCCAAATTCGTCTCTTATCCATTTCTCTTTCGAATTTACCTATTTGTCACTACTTCCGTGGTATTTAGATCCACAATATTAGCTAGATTCGCAATATTAACTAAAAGAAAAAAAAAATTCAAATTCAGCACAAATCTCAATTGCGATGGTTAGGTCCATAATTACGATGGTAAAGTTCGCAATTGCGACGGTAAACTGGTTGAATTTGATTTTTTTTGTCGTTTAGTTAATTTTACAAACCTAACTAATATTACAAATATCATAGAAGGTATTAAAAATAGGTGAAAAGATATTCTTCATTCTTGTAATTCTCAGGAGTTGTTTGACAGTTGTTGAATGGTTCGGTACAGAATTATTAAGTGGTCAGAATGATTAAGAGGTTCTCATGATATAGTACAAAATAAAATATAATTGTTTGGTAATTATTTACAATGAAATTAGGGCACTTAATGGTTAAGGGAGACTCAATATACAAAATCATTCAAAGGGTTTTAATACCATTAAAAGATGGATTTTTTTTGTCAAACAAGATTCATCTCTTAACAATTTAAATCTATCACTTAATGAAACTATTGAAATGTAAACAACAATCAATGACATAAATATTATTGTGACAAGACCATTCATTTATGATACATAGCATGTAATATTTAGGGGTTTTCTAACCCCACCCCCTCTATACTCTTCCCCCTATATTTTCTATACTCCCTCCTATATATTATTTTTCAGTTTTAACCTTTTGATATTTTCAGTTTTGACCCTTCAACTTTTATAATATTTTGTTATTATATTTTTTATGTTTTTAATTTTTAATATAGATTATAATTATATAAATTAATTAACTTTATATTATTATTAATTAATAAAGTATTAATATTCTTTTAATA